GTGTTCTCCCTTAGACTCCCAGGTCTGGAGCCTTCAGCCATAACTGTTCACATAGGCTGGAGTTTCTGTAATTGCAGGAAAGCAGGCTACTTGTTTCACTTTTCATATTTTAGAGGCCTGTCCAATTATCTTAACTAACCATCCAATTCTTTATTTTCTAGTTACATGAAGTCGTTAAAGCTACGGTGCACACCAGAACCCGTGAACCCATGAACACATTTCCCAACACCAAGATTAAAAGAACTCGAGCCAGCCTGACTCCTAGAACTCAATTATTTTCCTTAATCATCAGTCTAAACCCTAGTCTATACAACTCCCCAAATGAAATTCCTAATTCCTAGCTGTGTGACACCTCCTTGTTTTATCTTTTAGCCCCAGCAGCCCCTGCTGTATCAGGGGCAGGGGCAACACTATAACCCACCGTTACCTATATTAATTTCCCACTAAACTAAACTCTATCAAAATCCCTTACTACATTTTTTTTAAAACTCTCAATCACGAAAATTCTATTTAAACTAACACTATTACTATGTAAAATCATTACTTCGGTTAAACAGTACAGCTTAGGAGGAAATCGTCTTCATAACGATCCATGGGTGAAATGCCTAGTAGAAGAGGATCTGTCCGTGAGATAATCACACCACATTAAAGGCGGCAGGGGATCCACCCACACCCATTCACACCTGCCAGATAACAGGGAAGAACAGCAGCAGCCAACATGGGAAGGCACCGCAGCAGCAAGATGTGGTGATATTTTGTCTGTGCTCTAATAAATAAAGCTTCCCTGAAGATCAGAGGGTGGAGATGGCTGGGCAGAGAGAATATAAGAAGGGAAGAGACAGGAGCTCAGCTTTTTTTTTTTTTTTTTTTTTTTTTTTTTTGGCTGAATAGTTAGCAAGTTAAGAGTTAGCTGTGGGGAGCTGGAGAGATGGCTCAGTGGTTAAGAGCATTGCCTGCTCTTCCAAAGGTCCTGAGTTCAATTCCCAGCAACCACATGGTGGCTCACAACCATCTGTAAAGAGGTCTGGCGCCCTCTTCTGGCCTTCGGGCAAACACAGACAGACATAATAAATAAATAAATATTTAAAAAAAAAAAAAGAGTTAGCTGTGGCTTGCTCCTTTGTCTCTCTGATCTTTTAGCATTTATCCTGATATCTGTCTCTGTGTTTTTATTATTAAGACCAATTAGAATTCATGCAACAGCAAGAAAGATTCTGAAGCAGAAGCCCTCGGGGCCTTGCCTATCCCAGAATCACCCATCAGTGCCTTGCATTCCCCTGAGCTGAACTCCTGAGCTCAACTGCCACCTGCTGCTCCTCTGACGTGGCCACTGGCTATGTTTCTAAAGTTCGGTGAAAGATATGAACAATGAGGATACACGGAACATGAAAAAGAACAAGAGCAATCCAAGGAGAGCAGACACTATGCTCTCAGCCCTGTCTGGTAAGGATTATCACCCAGCTCCCCAAGGATAAACTGAAAATAAATTTATTTTTTCAACAAAAGTATGATGGTGGCAGACTATCAAAACTGGAGGATCCTGGATGTGCCGTCAGGCTCCTCACACTTGGGAGGCTGAAACAAGAGAAACAAATAGTTTAAGGTCAGTGTTTTACTACATAGTGAGACCTGTCAAAAAATGAAAATAAGAGGAAAACTAATGTTCTCAAATTTAGGGCATCTTCATAGTATGAAGGGCTTGATTGATTGATTGATTGATTGATTGTTTTTTTTTCCCTTCTTTTAAATTAACCTTTTTTCCTTTATTTTGCATACCGACAACAGTTTCTCCTCCATCCTTCTCTCCTACTCCCTCTGCCCACCCACTACCATCTACCCCCTTCCCCATCCATCAAATCCTCCATCTCCATCAGAAAGGGGCAGGCCTCCCATGGGCTTGAACATAGCATGACACCTCAAGTTGAGGTAGGACCGAGCTCCTCCACCTGTATGAAGGCTGGGCAAGGTAATCCAGCTTGGGGAAAAAAGTACTCAAAAGGCAGTTGAGCACCAGAACAGGTCCTGATCTCACAGGTAGGAGCCTTACAAACAGACCAAGCCACACAATGGTCACACATATGCAGAGGGTCTAGGTTGGTCCCATGCAGTCTCCCAGTTGGTTCAGAGTCCATGAGCTCAGAGTCCCACAAGCTCAGGTCAGCTGTCTCTGTGGGTTCCTCCATCATGACCTTGACCTCCCCACCCCCCCACACACACCCAACTTATTAAATCCTCTAGCAAAAGTGCACTGGATGGACATCTTCTGTGGACCAAAGGATTCCTTTGTTGTTGGAGGCAGGGATCTGACTGAGCAGAGCTGTCTCACCTTAGAGCGTACATCCACAATGAAGGCTGAAAAAGTACTGTGAAGGAAGGAAGCCAAAACACCACAAAGGCACATGACTTACAACTTATTCAAAGCATGCAACAAGGACAGAAGCCAAACATCGGGCATGGTCCAGGAACCTAATGGACAGCGGGCAACATGTGCATGGAAGATGAGTTATCAGAAGTGGCTAACCCAGCAAGAGCCAAGGTTTCATGAATGACCCCACCTTATAAAACTTTTATGCAAATCGTTCAGTGTTCCTGTTCTGGCTAGTTTTTATGTCAATTTGCTATAAGTTAGTCATCTGAGAGGATGGCTCAGTTGAGAAAATGTCTCCATAAGATTGGGCAAACCTGGAGGGCATTTTCTTTGGGATTGATGTGGGAGGCCCCAGCCTGTTGTAGGTGGTCCCACCCTTGGGCTGCTAGTCTTGGGTGCTATAAGAAAGCAGGCTGGGACCCCATCCCCAACAGATCATAAAGATCTTCTCCTCCCACTTTCCTTCTCCCAACTTATCCCTGAATCCCAGCCGCCAACACCAGCAGGCGTTCCCTAGAAATTGACCAACTGAGCAAGCTAGGGAAACAACATACACACACAACACACGATGCACAACACACACACACACACACAAGCCACTCCTGGCAAGGCTGCAGATCTTCATCTCTCCCTCTGTTCTTCCAGACTCAATCCATCAGTCTCACCCGCAGCTCCCCAACAGAATACCTGCGGCAGCCTTCCCTGCCCCCTGCTCCCATCTGCTGAAGATCCCACAGCTCTCCCCCTCTTAACTGTCCTCCCTCCCTCACTGCTTTACCCTTGCCCCCAACTCTAGTAGGCACCCACTTATAACCCAATGGCCCCTCCTGCCAGGGGAGCAGGTAGGCTGTCTGCAGATCTTCACCTCTCCTGCTCCTCCAGAACCAATCCCCAGTCCCATTCCCCAAGCCTACAGCAGAACACCTGCGGTTCTCCCTTTCCTCTATGACCCCAGCCCCAGAAGATCATCAAGATCCTCTCCTACAACCTTCCTTCTCCCAGTATACCAGACTCCTACACTGGCAGGCATTCCCTGGGAACCCACCAACCCAGCAGGCCAGGGAGAGCTAGCGGAAGGCCACCACTCACTCCTCCCCTCTAAACCAATCCCCAGTCTCATCCCTGTCTCTGCAACAGAACACCTGCTGCCGCCTTCCTTCTGCTCTGCCCACACTCCCGTGGAGCCCACAGACCTCCCCTCATAACACCTCCTAGTTGCTTTATCCCAGCCCCCAACTCCAGCAGGCACTCCCTGCTGACCCACAGACTACTCCTGCCAGGGAAGCAGGTAGGCTGTCTGTAGATATTCCCTCTCCTTCCCTTTCTCTAGATACAACCCCCCAGTCTCATCCCCAGTTCTATAGGAGGCCCTCTCTAGTGACCCCTCTTCACTGTCTCCCACAATTCCAGGAAGACAAAATAAGTAGGTCCTGGTGGATCACTCTGCCCTCCTCCCTCCTGTGAACCCCTTCAGACCCCTAGCCCATCCCCATTCCTAAGTGTCAGCTCCCAATGCCAAGAAATGCATTTTTATTTGGAACACCCAGTGGCCTATCAGGGCCTCAGAAAACATCCTAACAGGCAGCACACGGCTATCACAACTCTCTGAAAATCCAGAGGGAAGCAGAAACCAGGGAACAAAACACCTACCCAGCAAAGACAAACTCAGAAATCATCACCCAGACCTATAATCAACCCAATCACAGATGGCTAGATGTCAGCATAAAAACACAATCAGGCTGGGCAGTGGTGGCACACACCTTTAATCCCAGCACTCAGGAGGCAGAGACAGGTGGATCTCTATGAGTTTGAGGCCGGTCTGGTCTACAGGAGCTAGTTCCAGGACAAGCACCAAAGCTTCCGAGAAACCCTGTCTCAAAAAACAAAAAAGAAACAAATAAAAAAAAAACAATCAGTAACAACTGGGACAAAATGTCTCCACTAGAGGCCAGCTATCCTACCACAGCAGGCCCTGAATGTTGTGCTCCAACATTGCTGAAGCACAAGAAAAAGACTTAAAATCACCTGTGTGAAGATAAGAGAGGTCCTTAAAGAGGAAATTAATAAATCCCTTAAAGAAATCCAGGAAAACACAAAGCAGTGTGAAAAATTAATAAAAGTATTCAAGACCAGAAAATAAAAACAGAATTAAAAAAACCTGAGAGAATTGTAGACATGAAAAATTCAAGAATTTTAACAGGAACTACAGAGGCAAGCTTCACCAACCGAATACAAGAGATGGAAGAGAGACTCTCACATATTGAAGACATGAAAGAGGAAATGGATATATCTGTCAAAGAAACTGTTAAATCTAAAAAGCTTATGACATAAAGCATCCAGGAAATCTGGAACACTATGATAAGAATAATAGAACTAGAAGAAGGAGAAGAATCCAAGTTCAAAGGGCCAGAAAATATCTTCAGCAAATTCATAGAAGAAAAGTTTCCTAACCTAAAAAATGAGGTGTCTATAAAGGTACAAGAAGCATACAGATAGAAAATAGATTGGACCAGGAAAGAAAGACCCCTTGTCACAAAATAATCAAAACACTAAACACACAGAGCAAAGAAAGAATATTAAAAGCTGCAAGGGCGGGGGCTGGAGAGATGGCTCATTGCCTGCTCTTCCAAAGGTCCTGAGTTCAATTCCCAGCAACCACATGGTGGCTCACAACCATCTGTAATGAGGTCTGGTGCCCTCTTCTGGCCTTCCGCATACACACAGATAGACTATTGTATACATAATAAATAATAAATAAATATTAAAAAAAAGCTGCAAGGGAAAAAGACCAAGTAACATATAAAGGCAGGCCTACTAGAATTATGCCTGACTTCAATGGAGGCTCTAACAGACAGAAAGGCTGGACAGATGTGCTGCAGACTCTAAGAGACTACAGATGGCAGCCCAGACTACTATACCTCACAAAACTTTCAATACCATAGATGGAGAAAACACTCCTGAGTACAGAGAAAATAATGATAATATTCTCTGCCACACATAAAGAAGGAAGTACACAGCATACTTTATACATGGACATATATGTATGCATGTACAGTCTAGTCTGTATACTTTGATGGTTTCCTTTTTATGTGATCTGTTCTTTACCACATTAAAATTCTATTCTTCACACACAGTGTTCAGAGACACCTGCAGATAGCAGTTACCAGCATTAGGTATATACAGGAAAAATTCATAACAAAATCAATCTTTTAATAAACACTTAAGAGTTTTCATCCAAATTAAATGTTTTAAGTGCAGCTAGTCCTTATAATTACACAAACTCGGTTAAACTTATGAATGTCACTGATAAGTGTTTTATTATTATTATTATTTGATTTTCAATAATTGGAGCAACTATGGTTTTTAAGTGTTATTGTTATACCTCTAAAAATACAAAGGTTGAAGTAAAGTCCACATCAAAACCTTGGTCACAGCAAGAACTACATGTTCTGCCTGTCTTTTTATCTGTGTTTCACCTCAAACACACATAAACAAAGCTCTTACTCAAACAAGCTACTATCATTAACCCAGACCTGATCAATAAAACCCACAGAAAGCAACCTCTCTCCATGCCTTTAGAAAGAAAATACGCTCCCGTTATTGAGCCAACCAGGAAAAAGGAGAATTGCTTTTTTTTTTCTCTTGAAATAATAAAGAACATAAGTACAAATCTTTGGGATCCTGTGACTTGAGCAGTATGGTTAGAATTTGTTCAATATGATCGTTGTAAACTCCCTTTGTGACTTTCAATTTACCTTCAGAGTTTGGTTAATCTGTCGGTAGAAATCACTCAAATGCATGAGATGCAACAGTGGATTCTGCTCAACTAGCTAATACAGGCTTCACACTGCAGCTGTGCAGCAGACTTTGCCTTCTCATTTGTAGAAGCAACTTTTCTCCAGAATCTGGAGTAAGACCACATGGTTTGTGTAGACGAACTAGGCAGATACCAAACAGCATTACCTGGTGCAGCCATGTGTAACTCTTCAGAGCTAGGTCAACTGGGCCGCATTCTTGTCCTCTGGCTTCTACTGGAATGTGTGCTTGGGCTCAGTTAATTGACTATGCGATGAGGGCCTTCCAGCATAGGGAGCACCACCCTGTGGTCTGCTTCTCTTTAATAAGATGTCTGTCAAAATGTCCTCTCACAGAGAGGCAGACATTTTGCATCCATGTGCCAAGGAGTCTTAGTTGCCTACTTTTAGGAGAATTCTCTCTCGAACGTCATAGCTTTCAGAACGTGGAAGTCTTGGGAACCCTTGGACATATGAATATGAAAATACAAATTTTAAGATCTACAGCTACTGCAGCACCACCCACTGACCATAAAGTCTTGGATCCAGCCTGATGAGTGGACCCGCACTCCTATTTATGTTGATCTCAGCAGTCTGCCCCAATATGTTCCCCAGTTTCAAGTTTCCCTGTCATCCCCATTTTATATATCCAGAACATCGCTCCAAGTCTTTGCCGCAATTTCCACTCATGTTATGTACACCATACCAAATAGTCTTGGCCTTTATTACCCTTCTCTCTTTCTCCCCCCACCCCTTCTCTCTTCCCCTCTCTCTGATCTCTCTCTGACTCTGTATGCACACCTCTCTCTCTCTCTCTCTCTCTCTCTCTCTCTCTCTCTCTCTCTCTTTGCTGCCGTATCTCCTGTCTTAGTACTCTATTGCTGTGAAGAGATGCCATGACCATCTCTTATAAAGGAAAGCATTTCATTGGGACTCACTTACAGTGTCAGGGGCTTCGTTCATTATCACCACGATGGGGAGCTAGCAGCATACTGGCAAACATGGTGCTGGGGAAGTAGCTCAGAGTTCTACATCCCAATCTGTAGGCATCATGAAGAGAGAATAACATTGTCTGCCTTTGGTTTTTAAAGTCTTAAAGCCCACCCCCGGTGACAGACTTCCTCCAACAAGACCAAACCTTCTCCAACATCCTAGTCATTTCCCAATTATTAAGCATTCAATCATAGGAGCCTAAGGAGGCCATTCATATTCAAACAGCCACATCCCCATTCATCCTTTGTATCCCAGTTTTCTCCTAGTCTCTGCTATTCAGCTGGACTCCTGGGCCGAGAGCCTCCCTACATCTGCCCTTCTAGCCTTGGTGTTGTCTCCACTCCCCCTCCTTTTCTGTCTGTAGCAGGGACCACACATCCTAGATTTTCCAGTACCATATTGATTGTGTTGGTCCCATCTTCAGACCATTAGGTCCAACTTCAACTTAGAAATTCAATATAGTAAGCATAGATTTGTTGTACCTAAACATCTTTTAACTGGTGTGACACACACACACACAGGATAGCAAAATCAAAAGCCATCAAAGAGTGCAGCATATAGAACAGTCATCACCCCTTGTCCCCTGTCCCTGTGACCCCCTCCCATCAGGTCCCTCATCTGCAACACAGAGACTGCAGTATCTTTTTACCTTTCTAGATGCAATCCAGGCACCTCTGCCCAGGTTTCAAGACGAGCAAATCCTTGACCGTTTACAAATCTAGAAAAATGTAAAGAGGACTAGGGATATGGCACAGTGGAGAAAGCGCTTGCCTCACAAGCACAAGGGTCCCAGTTTGAGCCTCAGAACCCATATAAAGCCAGGCCCTCTATGGAAACCTGAGGGTCAGTTAGCTTTCTGTTCAAACCACAAAACAAGAAGAAGAAGCCTTGTCTCAAACAAGGTGAAAAATGAGGACTAACCTTCAAGGTTCTCTTGTGATTCACACACTCACGCACACACGTACGTGTGCACACAAACATACACACACCCCACATACACACACACACACACACACACACACACACACGGCACTCCACTATTTTCCACATACACTGTTATAGATTGAATAGGAAATGTCCTCCACAGGTTCCTATGCTGACTCCATCTTCACCATTTCCAGATGGTGGTGCTAGCTGGTCAGGCACTGGGAACTTTAGAACATGAGGCCTGCTTGGAAGAAGATTGGCAGAGGCATGGTTCACAGATTATGTGGTCCCCCACCAACTGTGTTATCTACTCCTCCTTTGCCATGAGGTAAACAGTTTCTCCTCTGCACCGTGATGCTCTGCCTCACCGTGGTCCCAGAAATGCGGTACCAAATGCCTGAACCTTGAAACTTAGCTAAACAAGTCCCCCCTTCAGTTGTTTCTGTCCAATGTTTTGACCACAGCTCTGTAAAAGTATCACACTCACACACGTGTATGCACACATACATACACACACATACACACACTCACTTTTTCATGAATTATGTGCAGAATTGTGAAGAGTTCAGCTCTACTTCTATTGCTCATCCTATAGACTTGTTTCATCTTTGTTTGTTTTAAGGGGTGTGCTGGTCTTTCAGGGGGAAGTGTTTGTTTAATTGGGCTTTTTGTTTGTTTTAAGATGGGTCTCACTAAGTATTCTTAGCTGACCTCCAACTCATGATCCTCCTGCCTCAGACTATAAGTGCTGTGATTTCAGGAGTGGGGCTAGCCATCATTTTTGTTGTTTTTAATTAATATTTTAATTTTGCATATAATATAAATTTATATTATATTTTAATTTGAAATATTATATAGCTCTAATAATATAATGTTAATTTTAAGATAATAATTTAGTACAATATTCTTTGGGGCAAAAATTCCCTTCTTGGGTTTTTAATTTTTTTATTCATTTGTGTGTACACGTATACTATGTATGTGTTTGTGTGACTATGTGTATGTGTGAAGCAGAAGCCAGAGGTCAATGTATGGTGCTTTATTTTATTGAGCTCCGCCTTCTTTTTTTTAAGATTTATTTATATTATGTATGCCTACAGGCCAGAAGAGAACAGCAGATCTCATTATAGATGGCTGTAAGCCATCATAGAGTTGCTGGGAATTGAACTCAGGACCTTTGGAAGAGCAGGTAGTGCTCTTAACTACTAAACCACTCTCCAGCCATCAGTAACCACGAGTTTGTAACTATATGTAGGCTCACCCACAGGTAGACAACTGTAAGTAGTGACTCCTTCTAACAATCCATCAGTATCCAAAAGTCTCCATGTGAGAACAGATTTTCTAAATAATTTTCTCCTCGGATGTCCATAATTACACTGTTAGAACATATATCTCTTCCTAATTTCAAGCCTAATAACCTAACGGTTCCAAAAATATCAGTGTGTTACGGGTTCAGCACCTTTAGTCTCATCTGCTTATTCGGGTGTCTAACTATTCAGAAACTGGAATGCTGAGCTCTCTCAGATCTGCCCTCTTGAACTGTTTCATTTCTTAATTTGGTTTCTTAAAAGTCTCGATATAGTATGCAAATTATTTTTACTGATTTAAATGTCATTTCTGCTTTGTGCAGCTTAAAGAACATTCTCACCATGTTCTTTGTAATGATCATTGTCTTTTATTCTAATTTTCCCAAACTAAGACAATAAAAAAAATTATTGCTTTAAATAAGAAGAAATTATTGCTTCAAATAAATGTCTACTTCATTTCTTTGAAAAAGACAAAAAAAGGCTCCGACTGTTTTCTGGACTTTGTGTGCTTTCCTATGATTGTTTCTCTTAACAGGGGGCTAAAGCCGCTGGTTCAAGCACTTAGCTATAGGCAGAGCTTCTCTGTGTCTTGGCAGCCACTCCCAAATAACCATTTAGAGACTTATTATTAATTATAAATGCTCAACCAATAGCTCAGGCTCATTACTAGCCAACTCTTATATTTTAACTTAACCCATATTTCTTATCTACCCCATGCCACGTGGCAGTACCTTCTTTCAACATGACACGTTC